CGGCCTGATCCAACCGTGAAAGTTTATAGATTCAGTTTTCACTAGCGAGGTTGGTGAGTGAGTTACCTTTCTTTCTCTTTGACTTCACCAGCATCTCGTTAGCTTGACGGTGAGTTCGCCCGCCAATCCGGAGCCCGCGGCGGCATCCTTGCTGTGGGCAAGCTCGACAACAAGTTCTCCCCTCACAAGTGACAGAACAACTCATTCACCCTCCGTTGGGCGCATCTAAAGGGGAAACGGATATAGCATGTGGAGCGTTCCGGTTTCCTCTCAGCTCTTCCAACCCTCCCGTCGCATTGGCTCCCGAATTCCCCCCTCTCGACACTCCTTTAGAAACCGCTGATGAACCCATCTTGCTGGAGTTCCTCTGTCGGATAGCTCCTCCTGACTGGAAATGAGCATCTCTAACATTGACCCGGTGTTGCCAACGAATGGCTTGCAGCAAGTATGCGTCATACGAGATCACTTCTTCTGCGCTTTGAACTCACGCTGACGTCTTATCCAACGAACAAGGATGTTCCGCTTGTAGAACAGCTCCGTGCTGCGATTGAAAACATCTTACCTGATGGGCAAGCCGTTCCATCATCGTCTTCATCTACTCAGTCGGAGTCCACGTCCCCTTCTGCACCCTCCGTGGCATCAACAGTTGCATCGTCCCCACCTTCACCCGATCTGTTCCTTGAAAAGAAAATATTATTAAGTGAATTGAGCCATTTTATTCCCGTGGGGATTCTGCAAAGATTTGATGGCCTGGCCAGTAGCCAGGATCCAAATGCTCTAGTACGGAAGTCGACATCTTCCTACCCAGAAGCCGAGCTCTCGCAGCTAGAACAAAACAATTGGATTCGAACGTCTATCTGCCAAAACGCCAAGTTTCCTGGGTGGAGCGCTGTCCGCATCTACGCTCTTCCTGATGACGTTGGGAGGAAACATGTCCAGCGATCAAACGGCACGTTAAGGGGGTTTCTTAAACTAGTGATGTCAAAATTGGACACATCGACCGAGGCATGGGAAGGCAACTTCGACCCCTATGCACAGCCAGATGTGGGAGCGGTGGAGGACGAGTCCTTATTCTACATTTTTAATACCCTTGACTCGCCCAGTCCTGATATTGAAAAGGTTTCTGATCCCCACGCCAGGGCTGCGATGGACGAGGTTCTTTGGAAAGTGCACGACTACGTCGGAGGACCTGATGAAAATATAGGCGTTATTGGTCTGAAAACTCCTCTGTATGCCTACCAACGCCGTTCTGCAGCTTATATGATTCAGAGAGAGTCGGAGCCTGCACAGACGTTGGATCCTCGTCTACAAACCCTCCATGGCCCGACGGGAAAACTGTATTATTACGATAAAGAAGGTTATATTTTTCGTGAGAAACGACTGTACTCTGAGGCTTGTGGCGGTAAGACTCTTGCGTCGTTGAATTTTTTTAATTTTATTTCTTGTGTGCGTGCGTGTATGTATAAGGGACGTACTCATAGGAAACACAGGCATCTTGGCGGAAACTATGGGGTACGGCAAAACCCTGATATGTTTGGCCGTTATACTTGCAACTAGGGGTCATTTCCCTCGTATTCCACCTTCCCATACAGAGGGTCTTCGTCGTGTCCGTAACAAAACAGGGTCATTACTTGAAATGGCTGCAGCAACTGCAGGCCGTTTCTCTCTCCCGTGGAAGTCGTATTTTGAGAGATTAAACGCTTCGGGGATGTATTTTGACAATTGCATATCGGCGTGTGAAGCAAATCGTGGAAGCTATGAGATATCTAGGCCACCTCAGAGGTATAGAAGTCGGGAAACGACACCCAAAGTGGCAGCTACTAAATTGCAGCTATGTTCCGGCACCCTTATCATCGTGCCGTCAAACTTGGTTGACCACTGGTTAAGTGAAATTGACAAGCATACTCAGGGTCTGAAGGTACTTGTTCTCCGTGACAGTCGTTGTGCAACTCCCCAACCAGAGAAATTGCTCGAATATGATATTCTATTATTTTCAAAGCCACGTTTCGAGTGGGAAGCTGGTGGGCGGCGTTCCTTGGGTTTGTCGATGGAACCGACGGAAGAATCTCCACTAAAAAAGCTACACTGGCTTCGCGTCATAGTCGATGAAGGTCATAATTTCGCCGCTAAAGGTGGGCGAAGTACGGCTGCTCATACTCTTGGTCAACTCCACATTGAGCGACGTTGGGTTGTCTCAGGTACCCCTTCGCGTGGACTATATGGCATTGAAGTGGCGCTAGCCTCTCAGGAGACTGCCGAGGGAGGACCTGACAAGCAAGAAAGAGATGCATTCTCCATTTTACAAGCTCGAAAAAAGTCTGCCAATTTTTTGGAGGAAGAGCTAAAAAACATTGATAGACTCCGATCCATCGTTGTTGACTTCCTTGGCCTGAAGCCTTGGTCAAACTCAAGGGCAGACGACCCAGCCAGCTGGACCAAATATATCAAGCCTGTTGGTCTGGATGGGAATCGCAGAGCTTCGCCGTCTCTCCGATCTACACTCCAATCCCTGGTGGTACGGCATCGAGCGGAGGATGTAAATAGGGATCTAACCTTGCCTAAGCTGCACAACAAGGTGGCCTACTTGGAACCCTCATTCTACGACAAATTGTCTCTCAACCTTTACATATTCACTCTTACAGTCAATGCTATCACTTCTGAGCGGACGGGTGAAGATTACATGTTCCATCCGAAGAATCGCAAGCATTTAAGTGTCCTCATTAACAATCTGCGACATGCTGGTTTCTGGGCTGGGTTTGAAAAAATGGAGGTACAGAAGTCAATAGATGTAGCTCAGGAATATCTCGAAAAAAATTACGACAAGATTGACCCTGTTGACAAAAGGAGGCTGTGCGAGGCCATTACCGTCGCCCAAAGGGCAGTAAACTGCAGTTCTTGGAACGCTCTTAGTAAATTTACCGAGCTGGGTGTTTTCCTGGACAACTTTCCAGATCACGCACGAGGTGCGTGGGCAATCGATGCCTGCGACGAAAATTCTCAACCCTTGCTCCTTGGGATCTCCCAAGCCAGACAAGCACAAAAATTTGTCACTTCAAATCTTTGTTCTTTTGACCCAGCCGAAGGTATCGTTGGTGCCGGAATTCGGACGCGAAGTCAAATGCGTGGGCGAGGGAGCTCACAGGTTAAAAAGTCCAATGATAACCTCGTTCACCAGCCAAAACCTGAAGGAATCGAGAGTTCGCCGTCGAAGAAATCATACTCTCTCGGGCGCTTCAGGACCCTTCCACCTGAATCATCTTTAAATCAAACTAAGCTTGTTGCCACTGCTTCAGCAAAACTCACATATTTACTAGATAAGGTGATTGAATTTCAGGAGAAAGAGAAAATCATTATTTTCTACGAGGGAATAACACGGGCTTCTACATTGCGGAAGGGCTTGAGCTTCTTGGTGTCGAATTCCGAATTTATGCAAATACTTTGAAAACGAAGACACGGTCGGAATATCTCTCGCTGTTTAACGAAACGGAATCTGTTCGGGTCTTACTTATGGACCTTCGTCAAGCCGCTCATGGTCTTCATATCGCTTGTGCCTCGCGAGTTTTTATCGTGAATCCGATTTGGGATCCCAACTTTGAAAGCCAAGCAATCAAACGAGCTCACCGTATCTCGCAGAACAAACCTGTTTACGTAGAAACCCTTGTTCTTAAAGGTACACTGGAAGACAGGATGCTAAGGCGAAGGAAACAAATGTCGAATGCAGAATTGCGACACGCGGAGAAGGATCCGTTAGACGACCGCACGATGAGCGACATCATTCAGACCGAAGAGGTAATCCCTATCCCCGAAAGCGATGCCTCTGAGAGACCAGCATACTTGAAAATGCCTGTCGGCTTTTTCGATCGCCACAGATTACCAATTCCTGACAATCACCTGGATGAAGATGTCCGTTCTGTGCCGCCGCTATCTCTGCCATCAGCACCACCAGTGTCTCTTGACTTAGTGGCGACCGCCAATAAGAAACGAAAACTCGTCGGAGAGTTCCCTTGGATAGAATCGGATGTCGAAAATTCATCGGAGTCTAGTCCAAACAGACGGAAACGTAAACCGAGACAATCGAACGGAAATTTGGAGACGATCAATGGCATCGTGATGGAAGCTCGCCGAACGAGAACACCACCCTCTCGGCGTGTTGCGGCCTCCCAAGCTGGATTTCAGACTTAACGAAGGCGACTCTTCGACTAATACCAACCGCGCCTTCCCCGCGTCATATGATGCTCCAAATTATAGATTCTCATTCACTCCCCTTGAGCACTCACTTAACGCCATTAGGTACAAGTAGGGGCTTCTTTGATACTGGGAATTTTTGCTCGACCTAGTATGTCGCCTCAGTTATTCCCTTTCCTTCCTTCCTTCTTTTTTCTCAATTATGTCGGGATCCAATACGGCGCATATAACGGTTGTTCTGGGCGGACGGGTGGTACGGATGTGGGTATTAATATGCGGGATACAGGAACTGGAATTGTGTCTGCGAATTCAACGGCGGACCACAGGCATGTTTGGGGAGCTGACATGTGCCATATCTACTTACTAACATTGTGCATGTACTATTGATTTAAACTATGTATGTAGTGATTTCTATGTGAATACCTATTTTACATGTAGATACAGCGAAGCTTTGGCAGTTAAGCTTGCTTTAAAAGCGTGTGGAAACGCATACATATAACCAGGAATACAACGCAGTGTATACTGTCCTTATTGCTCCCTACCTACATATCAAATTAGAAAGATCAATGGATACCATGGTCCTCGGACTCATTGTTGATATATTCCCATGTTCTATTGCTTTACCCCGAAACCTTGTATCGAAGCTACCCCGCCAGCAGGCCCCGCCAACAACAACCATCAAACACACGCCATGTGCTCCTCAAGGCTCACTGAAAATAATGCGGCGCATTCCCAACGAGCGAGCAGAAAAACAATCGTCGTAGGGATATCTGGACCATCGTCGAGCGGCAAAACGACCCTTGCCCGCCTCCTGCGGACTGTGTTTACCCCAGAATCCAATGGAGCTAGAATTGCAGACTCGGGCGCAATTGAGAAAGAGAGGGCAGACGGAGCTGGCAAGGGTGGAGTTGGGAACAGGGAAGCTGTGAAGGTGTTTATCATTCATGAAGATGACTTTTATAAACCGGATGATCAGTATGTGTTGATGTCTCAATCTCAATCCCAGCCGGCCCCGGACGTAAATTTTAAACCTTTCATATGGCAGAACGGAGGTACAGTACATCCACTTTTTCATATATAATGGGCTGACAATAGCTGAATTTACTCTATGTTTCCGCACATAGAATTCCAGTGACAACCACCTCGTCGGGGAAACGAGTGCAGGACTGGGATACCGTCGAAGCACTTGACATCCGACAACTCGTGTCTGCACTCTCCTATGTACGCTCCCGTGGCGTTTTACCACCCCGCTTAAAGAGCAAAGAGGACCTCAATGAAGTCACAGGTTCGGGCGTTGATGAGGATACGATTCGGCGTATTCGCCATCGTGTTACACGGACGATGGAAACCATACTGCTTTCTACGAAATCGGAGACCGATTCACTGCCCTTATCACTTGTGTTTCTGGAAGGGTTTCTCCTCTATGCGCCACCGGGAGATGAGAATCACCCGCTCCGCGCAGTGCACGATAGTATACAAGTGCCCTTGTTTCTGCCTGCTACCTACTCTGTGCTGAAGAAGCGGAGGGAGGGCAGAACGGGATACGTGACTATTGGCCCTGCGCCTACGCCTAAGTTGGATGAAGATAAATTTAATGATGACGACAAGAGATCTGCGGAGCCTAGTACGTACGGCATTGGAGATATTGAAGATGACAACGAGCCCATGCCACACCAGAATTTTTGGACGGATCCGCCCGGGTATGTGGATGATATCGTTTGGCCACGGTATATCGCTGATCACCAGTGGCTCCTGCTTCCTGACCCGAGTATTCCGCGGGGCGAGGATGAGTTGAAGGAGGCCGTAGGAGAAGGTGAATATATCAAGGAGGATGCGGGGGTTCTGGTGGCGCCGGGGGAAGGAGGGGCTAATATGACCGAGTTGTTGGAGTGGGGAGTGAGGGAGGTTTTGCGGGTGATTGGGCGGGAGATGGAATAAAGAGATGATGAAAACAATTGGCTTGGATGTTTTGGAAAAATGCTATGCTATGACATTAACAGACCTCAATGCCTCAATTCCATTCCATCTGTTGATTTCCCATAAAAATTTTCTCGGCTGTAGGGCTAACTATCAATCCCGATGATAGGCCCACCACGACTTTGGCAAGTTTTCGAACAACGCTTCCTTGAGAAAAATGACAACCCATGAGCATTTGCTCAAACCAGAAGTTTCGCAATCCCTCTTATTACTCAAATTTCTCAAGGGTATTGATGGTTCCTGAAGTGATGTGGAGGACGAGAAGCACTAGACCGAGCGCTAAACGCAAGCTTTAAGAAAAGGGACAGTGCTGACAAACACAAGCCGAAAATAAAGTCGGAAATCTTTCATCACCTCGTATTGAGAGGATCGGATCTCAAGTGATGACCAACGAGAATGGTCCCTTTCAATTTTTATTTTTTTTAAAGGCTTGTTTGATTTTTACAAGACTTCTATTTCTCCATTATGTTTCCTGTTATTGTTTCGACTCCGCATGGGGATTTTTCGTTCCCATGTACTGTACACACCATAATTCGATAAAATGAATACGTTGTCAAATATCCCGTTTCAAATTGCATCAACGTTGATCCTGTTACTCTTCAGCAATGGGATCCACGCTCAGAAGGAAGATAGACGCCCTCTATCCTCACCTGATTTAGGATGGCGAATCACGACCGAATCTGGGAGCAAGTCTGCTAGTATGTTGAGCCAAACCTCCTGTTCAACCTTGATATTGAGGCATCTTTTCGAATTCGAAACAGTTAACATACGGCGGTAGTCCGAGTGGTTTGTGATTATGGAGACACCTTCACGAAGTCCGGTAGCCATTACACTTGCTGCCCGGAATCTGCGACGACTCCGTGTTTGCTCCCGACAAGTTGTTCAGGCAACACCCTTCTCTTCGCTGATGACACGACCAAGGATTGGTATGTACTGTATATGTCTACGTTAAAACGATAACTACTCCCTAGAAATAATATAACAGGTATTTTTTTTTTCTCGTTATCTAACTCCGTATTTGTGGCAATAGTAAGAACGATATATGCGCTTCGCTTCTCATATACGAAAGTGCACCATCGCAGAATCCACTCGGAACGCAGCTGGTCTGTAGGTATGGTGAGCTAGGGGACAGCTCACCATGGACAGTGTACAGGAATTTTCCTGAGACTACTGCATTCGGTATGTAGACACCAGGTCAGTCTCTAAATGGATCGTGCGCTGACATTCTCTTGTTCCGTTACGGCACTCAAGCTACTCAATCCACAACAACGGACCCGTCGCCAGCCTCAACAACCACACTACCGCACATGACTAATTCCGGCAGTGGACTCCCAGAACCTCCGCCCAACCACAGCAGCAACAAGGCCTGGATAGCTGGCGGAGTCGTTGGAGCAATAGCTATTGCGGCCCTCGTCGGGTTCCTGGGATTCTGCATTGCCCGTCGAAGATTACGACAGAAACCAGCATCATCGAAAGATGAAGACACGGTTCCTGTTAACCAGCCTTCGGTTGATGATAAGGATTTTATGTATAAAGCTCACCAGGCGGTGGAATTGCATAGTTACGATCGAGCGGAGCTTCATTTTGACCAGAGTCCTGTGGAGCTGAATCATTACGGGAGCAATGTAGTGGAAATGCCGACGCAGCAGGATCGGGTCTTTGTGGCGGAATTGGACGGGGACCCCGTACGGCGGTGATAACATCTTATCTCCCTCTTTATCCGCCTAACCTTCTCCTACCTCTATGATATCTATACGAATGGAGTTTTGGGATGTAGATTGATTCAGGGGTAGACTCTGTTGCTAAAAAGGAGCATCCTGGTAGCTAAAAATGACCATGAAACGGACCTAGGTTTATGCCAAGAATTTTGCCCTCGATTATGTAACCTCCCGTAGTTGGCTAACAGGCTAACAGCTTAACTAGTCTGCAAAAAAGAGTAAGCAATGAATGGGAATTCTCCTGGACCGCCAAAATTACCATGGAACCAAAAAGCAAACCAAAAAGGAGAGGAACGGCGTGAGCGTGAGAAAGCCGCGTATTCTGCGTTTCTTCCCTTTCCGCGATCGATGGGCTGCGTCAAACCAGCTGCCTATCGGCTTCTCAACCGTCCTCCGAACTGTGTCACTGACGATGCTCTCTCATAAAGGAACAAGGCTTTTTGGCGTGGTTGCCTTCTTTGCCATTTTTCTTTTAATCCTGTCCAGCACGCCCGCGACTCAGCTGCGTGAGGCAAAGGTCAAGGCCGGCTCCTATGTCGAGAACCTCTCACCGAGCCTCCCGAATCTAGCGAAATTTCCACAACTTCCAAAGCTGCCAGACCTACCAGATCTCAATAACCTCCGTTTGACCTTCAGTCCTCCTACCCACAAGCCTCCAGAGCAAAAAAATAGCACCAGCGGGGAATCGAAGTGGTTCAGTGATTGGAAATGGCTGAATCCATTTTCCTCGAGCATCACGTTGGATGAAAACCGCTCTGTGCTCCCGCCCCTGGCCTTGAGGCGGCACGTATTCACGTACTACAATTCCATGAGCAAGAAACAAAAAGGAGAATTTGAGGCAGATAGACAGTTGCTTTTGACCTGGCGTCGTGCGTGGTGGGCGAAAGGGTTTCGTCCTATAGTCCTGGGACCGTCGGAGGCGGCGAACAACCGTAGATATCGAGCAGTAAAAACGAAAGAACTGAGTCCCGAACTTGAAGCAGATTTTATGAAATGGCTCGCCTGGGGAAATATTGACAGCGGCCTACTTGTGGATTGGAGGTGTTTTCCCATGGCCGAATACGAGGACAGGTTATTGGCCTCTCTTCGAGGAGGATCCGCACCGGAGTACATTACGCGGTTAGAGAATTTGGGCACGTGCCTTTTTTCAGGCGAACGGAGTCTCGTGAACGATGCCATTGAAGCTGCGTTGCAAAGGAGCAATTTGAAGGATGCTACGGCTATTATTGATGTGGTGCCGGATAAGTTCTTCAGGGTCGAAAAGTCGACCAGCCTGGCTTATTACGATCCCGACATGGTTGCCAGACAGTACTCACCCATTGCGGAGAAAATCAAGGAGAACCCGTCTGAGGGCAAACTTGCATTGGTTGATCTCATCAACTTACACCTTCAAACCACATTTCAAAATACATTTGCCTCAGGGATCGCCGTCACGAAACCGTTTCCCGAAGTGACAACGGTCCTTGTGAACCCGGCTGTCAAACTGGCCGGCTTGCTTGCTCAGTGTCCGCCTTCCATGCTCCAATCGACTTGTCCGCCCAATAATCTTGGGTGCACTCCTTGCACTCCGAAAAAAAGGCTTAAAATATTGCAGCCTAGCGGCTACCTTAACAGCTCCGCGGTCTATACCCTGGGTGTCCTTCCTCATCCCTATACCTTACTAAGTCTCCAGAGGGGCTCCGATAATATCACTGTCCGTTACATCCGCCGCGAGACTGACCGTGACAGATGGCTTACAGAATCTACCAAAATGGTTCTTGGTGAAAATATTGACAGTTTTACCCGTGTTGTTCCATTTAAAAGCATCGTCGCTGGGCGTTCTGCAATGTCCCGAAGCTTGTGGTTTACCGTGGAGTCATTCCCCGCCAACCCCGAGCAAAACCAGTTGCCATCTGAAACCATTGACGATCTAGACTGGCACTTTGGCTTCCGAATACCGCGGGAACCATCAGATGGCAATGGTAGCGCGCAGAAGCCTCTCATGAAGGATTTCCCTGGCAGCGACGAGGCGAAGATCAGGATGGAGTTTGATTTGATTGAGAAAGCAAGGAATGTACTGAAGAGCGCGAAGAACGAGGATAAGAGGATTAAAGATGCCTCGGAGGCGTGGAACCTGGTAGACACGGAGGTTTGGCGGTTTGTCCGCGCTTTTCGGTATGTATTATATTACCGCCCCTTTTTCTATCCCTGATTTTATTCTTTATTTTCATGCTTTTAAGCCGTTTCTTTCATATCGCTAATTCATATAATTTTCCGTTGCAGGGCTAGAAGCGTCATCGAGAGGAAAAAGTGGGAGGAGGAAGAAAAAGGGTTTGCAGGATCATAGCCGAAAGAAATGAAATATAGGCGTGTACGACACATTATGAACAATCCACTACTTACATGTATGTTTGATATCATTCAACTGTATTTATCTTGTATTTGTATATACTTGGCTTTCTGATTCTCCTTCTTCGTTTCTCTTTGTGTGATTTATACGGAACTCATAGAATTCAAGCTGCTGAGTTGAGCCCTAGCTGGCCTTCAATTCTTTATACTATGCTCTTGTTTGGCACCAAACCCAGTTTTGTGTATTTCGCCGTCAACTTGAAAACTTCATAATAAAGTGTATTTTAGTGATCATCGATTTAAAAAAAATAACGCATATTCAACCTTGTACATTCATATATTTGATATATATATATTCAGAAATAATGAATACAAATCAACTTGCTTTGACTACTTGGTACCTTCAGCCATTTAAAATCAGAGATTAAGTTTATAATAATAATAGGGGCATTGCCGAACCACGGAATAGATACTAGTAGTATATAATACCCGCCGTCTAGAGCATTTTTTTTATCATCATCTCCATCTAATTTTTGTTGAGCTTTGCAATCATCTAATTATTATTCTGAAGAAAGAATTGACTCTCTGTACATTCAGCAGGCCCCTCGTCATTATGCAGCACTGAATGCTGTTAGGCTGGTAGTAGAGGGATTGAACCAATCCAAACCCTCAACAAATCCTCATATTTAGAGTGCAGGGGTAAATGCCAGAGGTTAGTTAGAAGAATCAATAAAAAAGTCTTCCTGCTAGTGACCTGACCTGACCTTTCCAAGCCCAAAAAATGGGTCAGTTGAGGTTGACAATTTAGTGAACTTTTTTACATACTAGTTACTATAACAATTTATACTAGTACCCATCAACTTACTTCTTTATTTCCACATAAATATTTGTTAAAATAATTATGGATATGATAAACAGTCTTCAGTCAACACTACGGAGTAGTGACGTAAATATTGCATATGAGGGTACTTGATAGTACTAGACTTGATAGTACTAGTAACTAGTGCTAGTATTATCCTAGATACTAGTAACGATGCCAGCCAGTGGCGATCTAGTTTGCGGGTTTGCCCCTTAAAAGATCTCGATCTCTCTTCCAACTAGTAAGAACTCTGAACGAGTATGCTACAGAGCTTTCCAAGAGGGGAGTGCCAGCTCAAGTTGATACAGTTATGTGCTCCATATTAGTATGCAGCTCAAATAAATATTATAAATTACAAACAAATGTAAGTTTGATGTGTTACTTTTGTATTGGGAAAGAGTACGCTACAAGACATGTATCATTCTATAACAAGCAGCATGTATTGCATCGTATTGCACACCGGAGCTGCCTTAAGAAGTTGCCAGGCTGGAAGCTAAGCGCAGGCCAATAAATAAGACAGCTTCCCCGCCCACCTCGCTGGTAATCATGATGCCCAATATACTAGTATCACTCGTCGGCTGCCAGCACAGTTCATGGCTTACTACCCTGTCTATTGCTCTGATATAACTTAGATATCGGTGGATGTTCCCTTCGCTCTATATATCTTTTGCAACACTTTCCTACCGCTGATCAAGCTCTAACGTAGCTGATGACTGGTCCCGATGTCCATACCCCACAGCACAGTGTATACAAAACATTCGCGCTGCCGGTCTTACTTAATATAGGACAATCCTCTTTGTCAGAATTCAATAAAATTTACCTCACGGGGGGCCCTTCAGTCGAGAAGAGAAAAGAGAAAACATGGCTCCATCTGTCCTCCAGCGTCCTGACTCTTCCGTGGTCCTAAAGCAGACCCCTTCGCTAGCATCAGTAACAGAGAACTATTGTAGTTCCCTCCGATTTTACCTCAACGGAACAAGGGTTGAGCTGGAAAATGCCGATCCCGAAGCCACTCTGTTGGAGTACTTGAGGGGTGTTGGACTGACAGGAACCAAGCTGGGATGCGCCGAGGGTGGTTGTGGAGCTTGCACAGTGGTATGTGAAGTAGATGCCAGTGTTCTTCTCTTTTTGTATGGGCATAGGTCAATATTAACGGTTTTTGCTTTTCAGGTTATCTCGCACCTTAATCCTACAACGAAGCAAATATACCATGCATCCGTTAACGCATGTCTCGCACCACTTGTCAGTGTGGACGGCAAACATGTCATCACTGTGGAGGGGATTGGAAATGCGAATAGCCTGCATGCCGTTCAGCAAAGAATTGCTGCGGGAAACGGAAGCCAGTGTGGGTTTTGTACGCCGGGTATTGTCATGGTAAGCTTCTGTAGCCTTTTTCTAGTTGGAAAAACCCAGCTTCGCATGACACTGTACTTCGCTCTGCTTTTTGATCTATCGCACTGGCTGAATCAATTCACATCTGGATTGCTAGAGTTTATATGCCCTGCTGCGGAACAATCCTTCTCCGTCAAAACTTGCAATCGAAGAAACATTCGATGGCAACCTTTGTCGCTGCACCGGTTACCGCTCCATCCTAGACGCCGCCCAGTCATTTTCTTGTGGAAAAACAAGTGCCAGCGGGGGACCGGCTTGCTGCATGGAATGGAAACAGGGAGGTTGTTGTAAGGATAAGGCATCTACAAATTGCGACACCAGCAATAGTGACAACACCTCAACCGAAAAATCCTTCAATTCGCCGGATTTCATCTCCTACAACCCCGACACTGAATTGATTTTCCCTCCGTCATTGCGGAAGTATGAGTTTAGGCCATTGGCCTTTGGAAATAAGAGAAAACGCTGGTACCGTCCTGTCACTGTGCGGCAGTTATTGGAGATCAAGGACGCATGTCCATCCGCCAAGATTGTGGGGGGAAGCACCGAGACACAGATTGAAGTCAAGTTCAAGGCTATGCAATATGTCGACTCAGTATATGTCGGCGATATTCCGGAGTTAAAACAGTACGTTTTTACGGACGATTACCTGGAATTAGGGGCGAACGTTACCTTGACGGATTTGGAGAGTATCTGCGATAAAGCAATTGAGATATACGGACCTACTAAGAGCCAACCGTATGCTGCAATCAAGAAACAGATCAGGTACTTTGCTGGAAGACAGATTCGTAATGTTGCGTCCCCAGCAGGAAATATAGCTACCGCGTCGCCGATATCCGATCTAAATCCAGTTTTTGTTACAACTAGCACGATCCTAGTTGCAAAATCTCTAGAGGGAGATACAGAGATTCCGATGGGAGAGTTTTTTAAAGGATACCGGTCTACAGCTTTGGCAGCCAACGCTATCGTCGCATCGTTGCGAATCCCAGTGAGCCAGGAATCTGGCGAATATCTCCGGGCATACAAGCAGTCAAAAAGAAAGGATGATGACATAGCCATCGCCAACGCCGCTTTTCGAGTTTCACTTTCAGATTCAAATATCGTGACCAGTGCTAATCTGGTATACGGCGGCATGGCTCCTACAACCACCCCTGCGAAGCTAGCACAAACCTTCCTCGTAGGGAAGGACTGGACTGATCCAGCCACACTTGAGGGCGTAATGAATTCTTTGGAAATGGATTTTGACCTTCCGTCTTCAGTGCCAGGCGGGATGCCAACGTATAGGAAAACTCTCGCCCTGGGGTTCTTCTACCGGTTCTACCATGATGTACTCGCCAGTCTCCGGTGTAACACTACAGCTGCCGAAGAAGAAGCGGTCGCTGAAATCGAGAGAGAAATCTCTTCCGGCCGAAAGGATCATGCAGCTGCCCGCTCATATGAAAAGCGGATTCTGGGGAAGGAAGTACCCCATGTCTCCGCGCTGAAGCAAACTACTGGCCAGGCGCAATACACGGATGACATTCCCCCTCAACGCAATGAACTCTACGGGTGCCTAGTCCTATCCACAAAGGCTCGTGCGAAAATACTAAGGGTCGATTTCCGCCCTGCTTTGGATATCCCAGGTGTGGTCGACTATGTTGATCATACTAGTCTTCCGAGCCCAGAAGCAAATTGGTGGGGCCAACCGAGGGCTGATGAAGTATTTTTTGCCGTCAATGAAGTTTTCACGGCTGGTCAGCCCATTGGGATGGTTCTTGGTACTTCCGTAAGATTGGCTGAAGCGGGTTCGCGGGCTGTCAAGATTGAATATGAAGAGTTACCTGCTATCCTAACCATCGAGCAAGCGATTGAAGCGAACTCCTTTTACGACCATCATAAGCCTTTTATCAAAAGTGGTGACATCGAGGCTGCATTTGCCACAGCAGATCATGTTTTCGCTGGCGTCTCAAGAATGGGTGGGCAGGAGCATTTCTATCTAGAAACTCAAGCGTGTGTTGCTATTCCCAAGCCAGAGGATGGGGAGATGGAGATTTGGAGTAGCACGCAGAACCCTAATGAAACGTGAGTTCCCGCTTTTTCTTTTTTGTGCTTTCATCTACGCTTCCGGTCAAATAAAAAGGTTGGATATCTAAACTAACAGTTTTCATAGACAAGAGTATGTGGCTCAGGTCACCGGAGTTGCATCTAACAAGATCGTGTCGAGAGTCAAACGGCTTGGGGGTGGGTTCGGAGGGAAAGAATCTAGATCGGTTCAGCTTGCCGGTATCTGCGCGGTGGCTGCTTCCAAGTCTAGGCGCCCCGTTCGTTGTATGCTGAATCGTGATGAGGATATTCTTACATCGGGTCAACGGCATCCATTTCTCTGCCACTGGAAAGTTGGCGTGTCGAAGGAAGGGAAACTATTGGCGCTGGACGCCGATGTTTATGCTAACGCTGGTCATACTCAGGACCTCTCTTTTGCTGTGGTTGATCGATGTCTATCACACATTGATGGTGTCTACAACATCCCCAACGTTCATGTTCGTGGGCATGTTTGCCGTACGAATACGGTGTCCAATACTGCATTCCGCGGATTCGGCGGGCCACAAGGCCTATTTTTCGCTGAGACTTACATGTCAGAGATCGCTGATCATCTGAACATCCCTGTGGAAAAGCTTCAGGAGATCAACATGTACAGTCGAAATAACAAGACGCATTTCAATCAGGAACTCGGTGCCGATTGGTATGTGCCCCTCATGTACAAGCAGGTAATGGACGAATCCGATTATGCTTCCCGTCGAGCAGCGGTTACAGAGTACAATCGGACTCACAAATGGTCCAAAAAGGGCCTCGCTATTGTTCCAACAAAATTCGGTATATCTTATACGGCGTTATTCCTTAACCAGGCTGGTGCGTTGGTGCATTTGTATAATGATGGTAGCGTCCTTGTTGCTCACGGCGGCATCGAAATGGGCCAAGGCCTGCACACTAAAATCACCATGATCGCAGCGGAGGCACTTGGTGTTCCTCAGTCCGACATCTTCATATCCGAAACGGCTACTAACACCGTGGCCAATGCATCTCCCACGGCGGCCTCTGCAAGTTCTGACCTCAATGGATATGCAGTCTTCAATGCCTGCGAACAACTCAACCAGCGCCTCCAACCATACAGGGAGAAATTGCCGAACGCGACGATGAAACAACTGGTCAAAGCAGCGTATCTCGACCGGGTTAACCTCACCGCGAACGGTTTCTACAAGACCCCCGATATAGGCTATAAATGGGGTGAGAACAAAGGCCTCATGTTCTACTACTTCACCCAAGGGGTGACCGCAGCCGAAGTCCAGATCGACACGTTAACGGGCGATTGGACACCACTCCGTGCAGATATAAAAATGGACGTGGGACAGAGTATAAACCCTTCCATCGACTACGGACAGATCGAAGGTGCTTTTATCCAGGGCCAAGGACTCTTCACGACTGAGGAGAGCCTCTGGCACCGTGCTTCTGGCCAGATTTTCACCCGTGGGCCGGGCACGTATAAAATCCCTGGCTTCAGAGATATTCCGCAAGTGTTCAATGTGAGCTTGCTTAAAGATGTACAATGGGAGAATCTACGGACGATCCAGCGATCAAGAGGTGTTGGCGAGCCGCCTCTTTTCATGGGCAGCGCTGTCTTCTTCGCGATACGGGATGCACTGAAAGCGGCAAGAAAACAATGGGGGGTTGATGAAGTATTGACCTTGGTCAGTCCGGCGACGCCTGAAAGGATTCGGATCAGCTGTTGTGATCCGATCGTGGAAAGGAGTCGGGTGAAGGACAAGGGTGACGGATTTTTTGTTGTTATTTAAGGAAACGAACATGACGCCTGCATAGGCTGGAAATTGGATTTTTCACGATTGTTATAGACGCCCTTTCTGCTGGGGTTTTATCTCTGCAATGTGGTGCGTCGTCATGTTTGTTTTCTTGATTTTCAAATAACTGCTTCCCAGCCTCCCTCCTAGATGATGATGCTTTCCCTCATTGCCCATGTTGGTTAGTTCAGGACCCGCAAACTTAACCTTACTCTCTTTCAAACCATGGAAACAACCAGCCACAAGCAAGTTGATATGTCGCTCTGATGTTACATTCTGCCGGTCAATCTCGGGTTTTAGGACAAGCTTGTACAAGTCCCCGAGTTGTTTAACCGGGAGAGCCGATATTTTGCCGCCCTGAAAACCTCTTCCCCGTGCCTACTATGTATCCTAACGATGATATCTTGTTTAATTCGTGTTTTGTGTAGATTTACTTCTCCCTTAAACGCGTTCCGCTTATTCCCAGAAACGGTCGGTTTTTCCCTCCCCTTTCTCGGCTTCGAGGCCGTTACACCTTATACATATGAGGCCCGGATTAGGTTCCTCGAGGCTTGACAAGCTGCCGACTAGAAGGGCATGGCGCCAGGAAGACACGTCCAAGCATTGGTGATGATTATAATCTTTCCAGCTATAAGTCTTGTCCTGGTCTCGTTGCGTATTCTCTCTAGGTTTTTGTCGAAGAATTGGGGCTGGGGTGAGTACATAAGCAGCCTTATTTAGCTATCCATCCGCATATTTCTAACAAACATATGATATGCGAATAGATGATGTATTCGTGGTAATTGCAATGGTATGGAAGACGCTTTTATCCAGAAAAATCTGTCTTTTGGCATTTCTCATGAAAGGAAACCTAGATTTTATCTATTGGGATGTGTGTGACCAGTTGGGGATGTAAGTGATGGGTTTGCATCCTTCGCTACTTTGCGCTTCCAAAAGTTTACATGCCCCGAGGTAGGATGTATCATCTCGCTAACTCCTGGTATAGATACAAAGTATGCCTCCCAAGGGTTTCCGCCAACGTATTTTCCGCCGGACAGCTTCCGATTTAGTGTCTTGGGCAAACAATACAACCTTGCAAATCAGCTTCTTTATTTTCCCATCCTCACCTTCGTGAGGGCGTCTATCATTACGTTTATCCTCCGTCTGCACGGTCTTCGTAAGTTCGTCATACAGTCACTACGCATTTTGTTCGTCATCAACTTCTGTGTCGGGATCGCTATCTTCTTTGCCGACCTTTTCCAATGCACGCCCCTACGATATGCTTGGGATTCCGAAGAATTGGATCGCAAAGCTCAGGAAGCTGCTGGGGCGGATGAAAATGGGATGAAAAATGGAAAGCTGATCAGAGGAGGGGGATGTATTAAAGGGAAGGCGTTTTTTATCTCAATGGCACTGTTGTCAATAGCCCTTGATTGCTGTCTTCTGACTATTCCTTCCGCCATCGTTTGGGGGATAAACATGCCAAGGAGGCAAAAATTTATGGTTGTGGGTGTACTGAGTATAGGAGTTGTGTACGTGCTCTTACCAAACTTCCTTGGAAATCTTTCGTCTTGTCAAGCTTCCATCCCGACCCCCTTGAAAAACCACCTGCGCCTGCAGCTCCTGAATCAAACCAACTAACATCTACCTCGTCTCCTTTTCTTCCATTAGGGTGACGATTTTTGCAATAATACGGTTAATACTAGTATCTGGCAATTTTGACTTACCCACCCTGGAGCGGGCATACGATATCGAATACACATTTTCCAACATAGAAACAAACGGCGCAATCTGGGCGGCGGCAGTCCCAGCGTTAAAATCACTTATTGCACGGCTATCTCCCCGATTATGGCAAACAGCGACGGCGCCATCATTACCATATCCCCGTTTCCTCTAAACTGCCACCGGCTTCAAGTTCCCGAGTCTGATACCACCAATCGCGGGCAGCGAGAATGGATATCGCGCTCCTTTTAGTACCGATGCCCACTCATATCCACTAAGCTCATTGCCGCCGCTGAGACGTATCAATAATAGCGAAGCGGAGATTCGGCGGTTCGAATACGATTCGAAAGTCTCAAGCTTGTTTCGCTCCGGGCACAATTATATTCCCGACGGTCTTTCGTCGGAAGGTGCAATGTCAGTACATTCTGGATCCTCGAATCGACAGACTCCATCGGACCCGACACTGGCGCCACGAAGGGAGAATGAAAAGAGGTTTCTTTTATCTCCTTCCGCAACTCCAACAGGTCCAGTGCAGAGTGCGGGGTCATCTTGCGCACACCCCCGGGCTGTTGAAGGCAACGAGCGTCCGTTGGAACGCGGTGATTAGGTGGACTGAAGAGTCTACGGTTTTAGAGAGCCAACCATATCGCCCACGAATGAATACTCTATTACTATATTAGTTTACTTATTCATATTCATTCGTATTTTTTTTTTTAATTTTTTTTTAATTTTTTTTTTTTTTTTTAATTTATCTATTTTTTCTCTTCCTTTCAATTATCGTATTCAATGAATAAACATAATTTTAATTTTTGTCATTATATTTCCATATTCTATGTGGGCCCTAAGAATAAATTGATACAGAACACGCCTGAAAATAGACATAGCAATGTCAATGCTGATCACGAGGGGAAGAAAGGATGTTATGTACGAGTGGGAAGAAGAGACGTAATAAAAACAGGCTGAAAAACATTTGGACGGGCAGGCAGTGAGTAGGTAGCCCCGAGACTCCCGATGTAAATGTACAGTGTACTCCAACAACAGCATTGGTGGAGCTCAAATGATATAAAACTAGTACGGGTGTGCGTGAGAGGTGGAAAGAAAAGGTTTCTGTAGAGAATGCCACCCACCGCTTCAAAATGAAAGAGAGAAGCCAGGAGAAAAACATCGTGGGTATTTTAACTCGGGATGCGGATTGGATGGAGTCAAAGGAAGGGGAATGAATCATTGAGAGTATAATAATGCCATACAAGGAGAAGGACGCCAATACCGGCAATGCATGGTAACAAACACACTTTAAAAAAAAACTTAAAAATAAAAAGAGAGAAAAGAAAAGAAAAACCACAGTGAGAAAAAAAAAATTAATTAAAATGCAGAGATGACTTATCTCTTAACATCATTCGTATATTCAACCTCTCCATAGCTGCTCTTCCGTGCATGGCCTTCGACGTCCCTTCTCAACTCCCGCTGGCCAGCAAATCCCAGCTTCTGCTCCTGATAATAATCTTCCGCATTATAACCCCCATTAAAGGCCTGTGCGGGAGGTCTTGTGGTGTATACCGGTACCGAAGTGTCTGCCATTCCCGGACTGACATGAGTTGGAGTTGCAAGAGGAATATCACTGAAACCCGCCGCGTCTCTGGATAACGTTTCGGGGTGGGGAAATTCAGAATCACCACTTCCGTCGCCACGGTTCTTGTCAGCACCGTACCAGAGCGTCAGAGCTCGAACGATAGCCATCAGTAGCACGGCAAACCAGATGGAGATGATAACAGCCGAGATGATGGCTTCAGTTCGGATACCAGATTCTACAGAGTCTGTGACACGCTGGACTACTTCGCTGATCTTGTCAGTGGTCTTATCGCCCGGGTTCATGAGAAAGCTGTCTGCATTTGAATCGTTGTCTTTGGAGAGCTTTTCGAGGGTACGTAGGGAAAATGTGTCGTTGGCCAAGTTTGGGAAGTCCACCTTGGCATGTACAGACACCCAAGTCAAGGCTTTTTGGACCCCTTCGATTTTCAGGCCGATGAGGCAATGTAGGACGTCCTTAATTGGTTCGTAGAGGATCGTGCCACCAAAGGTTCGATTGAGGACGTTGCTGGTTTCGTCGACAAAGACGTTGAGGGTGTTGTTGACTGAACCTGTCGTTTGGTTAACCCAACCAAAGACCTTTTGGTTGATATCATCGTTCGTATCGTCGATGACACGGTTGGTGCCGACTGCCCATTGTTCGGAGGCGTTGTTGAGAGCAAAAAAGACCTTGTCAGCAAACTGGCCGACCTGTTCTGTGAGACTGGGGACCTCCTTTTTCACAGCTGTCAGAAGCATGGCTTGGCAAGCACATGAGAACAGTCCAGCAACACCCAGGGAGAGTAGGAAAAGCGCTGGTGGAGATGTGACGTAGGCAACGACCCATCGCGCGAGCACCTGCCTACGATGTCCACTGAACCAAGTTGCGGCTTTTAGGCCAGCTGCTGAGGCGAAAGGTCTTGAAACGATGTATACAACATCCATGGGGTCGTGAGCCTCTCTTCGAACCAAGGAAGATCGCTCTTTCATACCACGCCAGGCTCGCATTTCACGGTACGCCATTGGGATACAAACCAATATCGCGCTGACAACTAACACGCCAATGAAGATTTTCTTAGCAGTGCTTGTAAGCGACGCCAATTTGTTGAAGAAAGAATGGATGCCACCCTCTTCATTGCAAAATTGGAGTTGCTCCTTCGCTGGCACCGGGAATACAGATCGATCAAATTTGTAATCGTCGATTTCATCTCTGATGAGCTTTTTCACAAGTTCGAAGGGCATGCGGAGAGCATTGTTTGTAAAATTGTTGACATCCTCAAAGTTCGGGATTTTTTCCTTCAGCTTATTGAGATCGTCCGTCAAACCGTCCGGTAATGAGAGATTTTCTAGTTCCTTGATTGGACCATCAAGGTTGAGTTTGGGGAGTTTGGTGCCAAACATATTGATGACATCGCCAAAACCGTTAATTGCATCCTCGAAGTCGCTGATCCCATCGCCAATGGCATTTCCGAGCTTGCCGGTGATATCATCAAGGAACTCAGTTGCCTTTTTCAGGACGTCAATGGCAGCATTCATCATTCCAGACACAACCAGCGTGATAAGACAGAGGTATGTCTGGGTCATAACGTTGACGAAAAAAACGAATATCTCTTCAACACCGGTGACAGTAAGTTCGAGCATCGACATAAGCCCATTGATAGCCTTCTCCACCCCTGTCGCGGTCAACTCATTGACTCCCTGAGCCATATAATGAGGCATCGAGGCCATGGTGCTACCCACGGATTCTACACTTGAGCAAGCGGACAAAGCCTCTCTCTTTGCGGAGACCAGGTTTCCATCTAGAGAGCCGATGGCTACAAGTACTCGAGCGAGAATGAGCAGCAGTAGTATGGTCCATCGATTGAACCAAATTTGTGATAAACGAGATCGCAGTCCGAGATAAGGGGTGATAGCGCCTGGGGGCGGTGACGGCCGGTAGCCATTTTCGAATGTGTTGGGCTCTTGCTCGCCGTACGCAGGTAGACCTGGGGTCCGTGACCGCGGAATGAATCGAGAGAATTTCATGGTGACCGGTTTAAAAAGGCGTCAAGGATTGGATACGGCCAGCGCTTGGTATATTAATTGAGAAGTAGGCCGTACTGACGAGAAGCAGTTGGAGGTACTTTGCCGTTTAAGAGATATAAGAAGATTTTAAGGGTATAGCAGAACGAAAATATTAAAGAAATAAAAATTAAGAGAATCAGGATATCAATAATGGGGGGAATGGAAGGGTGATTGATACACAAGAAGTGAAAGGAGAATAGAACGCAATAGAACTATATCCAAAGATTGTTCCCGAAGTTGGTGTTTATTCAAGTCTATTGAATGGGCCAGCCAAAAATAAGAAAACAAAAGAAATCCATTGAGGGGAGAAAAACAGCACAACCACAAAGACAACGAGAAGGAACAGAAAGGATTGTTAAAAATCTACTGTGAATGCCAGCACAAGGGGGTAGTCAACGAACAATATATTTCGGAAAGCAGCCAAACGAGAACTGCTCTGCAGCACAGCGGCAGCACCGTTACATGCCGAAGATCAACGGAACTCCCTGTCGAGCCTCTGTCAAGGGGAAGAAAGCAAGCTCTGAGGTGACAAGCATTCTTTATTTAGCTGTAGGCAACCCGCAAGCAAATCAGCAGCCACCTTATCGTTTTGAAACACATTCCAAGTGTCTGAAGAATTGAGAACTCTCAAGCGTGTGCGGACTGCCAGTGGCCAGTTCTGCAAAAATAACCAGGGACCTGTTGGCGCCCATCGGAGGACGGGCGCAGAAGACCCACCAGACAGGTCATACGCTGGGGATCTGACCTTAGGGCTTCGGTATCCAGGTCATAGCCAGGCGCCAAAGCTGGTGCCCGATTGTATACCCTGAAACCCTCCCAGCGCGTACCGCAGCAACACAATAAGCCGTGGAGGACCTGGGATTTCCCATGGCATAAACCTGGCGTTTCAGGGTAATTCTAGGTTCTGGAAGGATACCTGATCCTTTGTCAGTGGCCTGGCGAGTAACCGATCAATGGCTATTCATATCCACCGATTGTGGATGTGTTGTTGTTTGCTGTTTTTTGAAACGTTTCAGGAAATAATGAATCAAATGCCAAGGGCGGTTACATAAACACGCGGCTCCGTCAAGAACTTGGTTCTAACTTAGCTTGGTTAGTTAGTTAACTAGTTAGTTAACTAGTTAGTTAACTAAACTCGTCGATGATGTCATCATTTGAGCAACTCAACAAACCATGGCTACATAGTTACATAGTCAATGTATAGTATGTGGCAATATAAAAGACATAAGATAATCAGTTCAATCCAATATGGCTAAAAAACCCACAAAGGAATGGGACCAAGGAAGAGAACCGGGGAAGGTAAGTATCGACCAAC